GCTTTACTTTACAAACTAATCAGTTTTCCATTCATTCTGAAAACATTTCTTTTTATGTAGGGGAACTATAAAACAATTCTTCCAATTGATCAACAGATATGTCCACTTAGATATTAAACAAGTTTACAGATAAATAAGCCACATCCATATTTTAATGTTTCTTCTCTCACTGTTTATACCTGCAGCCTTATTGTTTTTCAACATGCTCACAGTGTTTATAACTTCCTTTTAATCAGTTTTTTGGATGCTAATATTTTATTGATTCCTGTTTTACTGTTGACATTTAACTATTACTCCAATACAAGTTTCTAAAATGCTTCTTCTACATTCCCTCAGCTCAGTTCCATCCAAAATAATTTCATGGTTTTGATTTTTAATTGGCTTCACTTTGCTGGAAGTTCCTTGTTTCACCATCTTTACTTAATTCTTCCCCCAAAACCTTTTGTTTCCATTAAAATTCATTTTCTTTGCCATTTTTAATCTTAACTGTTTCTAATGAATTTTGATTACATTTTGCAACTATCTTTATATTGGTACACATAATACACTCTATTCATTTATTATTTTTGCCATGATGATTCTGTTTGCATGCATTTTTCTCATCCACAGCCTCTTTCACTTCATCTTTTCAAGAGGCCTTCAAATTTCCTTTTAATGAAATGACACATTTGTCTGGCACTTTGAAACATAATCTTTTTTTGTCTGTTTCTAGCAACTTTCATATCCTTTCTTTGTATTCCATTCATTCATTTATTCTGTTGAATGATTAATGTTTTCTTCTAATATTACATAAGATTCATTCTTTCCACTGGCACTTCCTTATTTTTCCTTCATATCCATTTTTCCCAAGGTAGACTCATGATATTACTAAAATAAATCTGTTTCTCATTCAGAAAATTTTCATCAGTGGTGTATCCTTTACTTGTTCTCAGACTTCCAGCATATACAATCAAATCAACCAAACTTTTAGCATGAATCATCTTTTGCTTAAATTATGTATTTGAAATATTTTTAAGCAGATGCCAAACAAACACATTCATTCTTGAAAAAAAACAATTATTTTTCTCTATTGTCTCACCTCATTCCCATCTGTTGTTCATATCATGTAACAATAAATATTTTTCTCTTGAATTCCATCCGTTTAGAATGTTGTACAATTTCCCCCAAAAATCATTCCTGGTTCATCTATTATCATAGTCACTGAAGTGTAACATGCAATTATAATCAAACTATGGTTTCATACTTCCATAGACATTTAGAACAATCATAACTATTGTATCCTGCTCTGCATTTTTCAAACACCAAGCGTATCCATTTTTCTTTCTTTTATTTCATTAGTAAATTAATACTATTTGCCATATATTCTTCTTACTTTATAAGTCACAAACTACCACATGCCATAGTTACCACCATATGGGCTACCTAGAATTGACTTTCACTTCCCATAAATGGTTTTGATCAACCAGAGATTTCAAATAAAGTTTTTTAGTAAGATGAATAGATTGGGTTAGCACCTTAGTCATACTGTATCATGTTACATGCAGCCTTCCCTGTTAATAGTAAGAACAATTTTGACAAATTTGGATCATAGGGCATAGAAGCAGCCAAAACCCAGTTTATCTCAACTGTGCCCATGCTATTGTACACAGATTAGGATCTCTAAAGTACGTTGCAATCCAATAAACCATTGCTGCATCCAACCAGCTAGGTAGTACATACAATGTGTCTATACACACATACAGAAAAATAAATGGGAGGACAGAAATCAGGAACAGATTTTGATTTTTGGATTACATGTGCTTGGACTGAATTAGTGTCCAGCAGATCCTTCATTTTAACATTTGCCTCCTGTATAAGCTACTATTTTGTATCTGGCTGTGACTGTGGATCCTAGGATATTTTTTTTTTTAAATAGTGGACACTTCAAATTGTCTGTGTTGCCCTAGCTGAGCATTTCAAGCTTCAGTGCTCAAGTCAGGAAAATGCTAACAATATACAAGTAGTCCTCAACTTGTAACAGTTGGTTTAGCGACCATTCAAAGTTACAACTGCAACTTATGATGATTTGTCACACTTACAACCATTGCAGCATTCTCCATGATCAAAATTCAGATACTTGGCAACTGACTCCTGTTTATACGGTCACAGTGTCCCGGGGTCATGTGATCACCTTTTACGACCTTCTGACAACCAAAGTCAATCGGGAAGCGAGATTCACTTAACAACCGTGTTACTAACTTAATAACTGCAGTGATTCATTTAACAACTGTTGTAAAAAAAGGTTGTAAAATGAAACAAAACGCACCTAACAGCTATCTCACTCATCAACATAAATTTTGGGCTCAAATGTGGTCATAAGTTGAGGACTACCTGTAGTGATTTCCCATCTAGGTTCGGTGCATAAATTATGTGTCAGCCATACAATGGTTTAGTGCAGGTATGCCACACCCACCCTGGCCTGATAAGGGCAAAACAAATCCCGATATGTCACAATATGGCCAACAATGCGATCGGGTTTGACACCCCTGGTCTAGGGCATAAAGCCAACTTCCTCAATCTGTTGGCCTCCAACTCTCATAATCTCTAGGCAGGCAGCATAATTCTCAGCTATGCTCACTAGAGATAGTAGGAGCTGAAATTAGGCACACTGAGGAGCAAAAGGTGGGGTAAGGCAGCCTGGAGAGAAGAGGCTTTGGAAAAGTACCTTAGTCTTTGAAAAAAAACTACAAGCTTGTAATAACCAGTATTTTCTATGGACAGATAAACTATATCTGAGATTATCCAGAAGGCACAGGCTGTGTTAGCGACTGAACAGTTATGGAATTCTGGAATTTGAGAATATTGTCTAATCTATTAGTCTACCCGAACAATAGTTCAAAATACAAGTCAGAACATATAATCCACTTGTGTTTTATGTGGGGCAGGAAAGTGGAGGAAGAAGAGACAAGAGACAACTATGGAAAAGGCAACAAGGAATGTTGAAAAGCCATTTTAGCCAACCAGAAAGTAAATACTAAATATTTTATGGGCACATTTTTTTTCTCTAAATTCTTAAGCAGGCTTGGAATCTTTTCTTGCTGATTCATTCCCTTTCAAAATCTCCAGTGTTTATCATTCTAAATTTATTCTTATTCCTTTTCTTGTCTGCATGCACAATTAAAGCGGTTCTTTATATGAAGTGGATTACACATTTCATACTATTAATACATGCAGGAACTGTTAAGTTTTTAAGTGCTAAAAAAAATCCATGACAATATTTTTTTTTCAATTTCAGGAGCAGCAATGGTAATGTTAATAATAGTGAGGTTTTCACATGCTTGACTATTCGGGGATTTTTTTTTTTCATTTTTATGAATGCAAATATGTGCACAAAATGGGAAACTTAGGTCAAGTTTTCTCTCCATATCAAGCTATAGCCTATTTATATTTATAACACATGGTGTCTTTGTAACAGTTCAAAGAACAGGTGGAAAAAGTGGGAAGTTTAGAATCGCGCAGTAATCATAAGGTTCCTTCTTGCTGCCAAATTTGGATTCCATCAGACCTTGACCTTGCAGAACATTAAACTGACTTAATATTTGCTACCTCACCTGGTAAACCTACCCTGCCCTGGCCACGATGCTGAGAAATGGGGATTGTTTTATTTATGCCATACAGGGGACACTAGAGAGAAATATTGGAGGATTCCTCCACAGTTGTTTGCCTTTTCTCCTGCATCACATTTATCTGAAGGGAATGGGTTGGGAGTTGGGCAGGAGACTAATTTTTTCAGATGGCCAAGATGGCATGTTTAGCCATCTCTCAGTCCTCACTCTAATTTTGCTTAAGCCTTTTGCATGGGTGTGTTCAAAGGGAAGCCCACGGTCACCTTAGCTTAGCACTCTTCCTGAAAATGAGGTTAACATTCTTTTAGAGAATGCAGGTTGGTACTCTTGCAGTAGGACATTAACATCAACTGATAATCAAACTCCTTCCAGAAATGAGGTCATTCTTATTCCGGGAGTGTATTAAATCAATATTCAAAAGCAACATTGACAGGCACCAGGAAGGTTATGCTATGAACCAGCAGAGTTAAGGCCATTTATTTCTCTCTCTTCTCCTCCTCAAATTCACCATGCATATCCCTCCTACCACTACTACTGGTTTGCTAATAGTCTCTAAACCAGGGATCACCTTGGAGGCTTGCTGATATATGGGGAGGGCTTGAAAGAACCACCTCTTCTGCTGCCCAGGAATTAAAGGGGGAGGGAGAGGCATGCCCACATCAAGCTACCGTGTCCAATAAGTGCAAGAATCACCTGACTGTACTAGGAATAGAAGTGTACTGATTTATATTCACCTGGAAACTGATTTTGGTGTAAAAGGAAAAATTCTGCTTTAATATTGATACTACCCTGTGTGACTTAAGGTAACCTCTATTCTGGTCTTGGAACAAAAAAACCCACAACATCATGAAGACATAACAGAAAAAGAGAAGTTGCCTGGACATGTCTAGCCTAATAAAGATCATGAATACTACCTGTTTATGTCTAGTCAAACAAAGAGAAGGACTAAGAGTGACCTGCTAGTAGTGTTCCAGTATTTGAGGGGCTACCACAGAGATGAAGGGGCTGAGCTATTCTCCAGAGCATCTGAGGGCAAGACAAGAAGTAACAGATAGAAACTTATCAAAGAGAGCTCCAACCTAGAATGAAGGAGAAATTTCCTGAGAGTGAGAACAATTAATCAGTGGAACTTCAGAAATTGTGAGTGCTCCACCACTGGAGGTTTTTAAAAAGAGATTGGAAGCCACTTCTCTGGAATGGTATAGGGTCTTCTGCTTGAGCAAGGGGTTGGACTAGCAGACCTCCAGAATCCCTTCCAACTTGGTTATACAGTTACGTATTTGTGTTGCAGTCAGATACAAAGGAGGAAAGACCCATGAAAGTTCCTAAGGATCTGGAAGTGTTGGTGTAAATAACATCTAACATTCATCTTTTTTTTTCTTATTCCTGGTTTAGTGAAGAATATGAGACTCATTTACACCTGTGGAAAAACTGTTGCCTCTAGCTATGGAAACTAGTTTCTGGTAAGTCCATAGTATTATTCTAAAATATAGGATAGCAATGAGACCCAGACGATGGCATCTAAGAGACGGTTTTGAAAAAGTTAATCAAACAGCTGCAGGATCAGAAAGAGGTGGGATTAAACACATAGCATCAGTAACTTCAGGTGCTATAAAAAGGCTATTCTGTTGGCATTAGGAATGGGTGAGGCTTGACTAAGAACTAAGAGGCTTAGGAACCAATGCTTGAACACTTTGCAGTTTCACAAAGTAACCCTTTCCTCTTTCGCCCTGCAATGTATTAAGCACAGGTTCCCCATTACACTTAGAGCAGGAGATTCTGGCTTAGTATCGATAACCCAGGATATAAGGATTTCTTCACCAAAGCGATAGTCCATTAAGAAGGGAAGAGCATATAGCCATGCTCCTTAAATAATATTCAATGACATCACAGGTAACTAAATGCAGCCACTAGACTTCTTGGGCGGAAGAGTGCAGTGCCCTCTGAATGACATGAAATTCTAAAAAAGACTGAAAGGAGGATCTCTATACAAGAGATGGAGGGATAATTGAATCTGTGCTGGAAGGTTGCAAAATCTTTCCTCTTCACTGTTAACCGTGCAACTCCTCCCAGGCATGGCCTTAATTGGAGAAAGTAAAATGATACTTAATTCTGGTTGAGAAATACGCTGCTGCTCCACCTTCATGGTGAGCCTAAGGCATATTCATGTCTGAGGCAATAAACTCAAATGGAGAAATTCTCTGCTTTTCTACTTGTTAACATGCGGCCCCTCCTAGTTATCTCAGAAGCTGAACAAAACCACTAGCTGAAACACAGCCATCTTGTAGCATAGAAAGAGGAGTGGTCTGGTGAATAAGGAACATCTCTCTTTCTTTTCAACAGCCATAGGAGGGTCCCCCTGGTCTCCTGCTTCCATCTGCTGCCCTTCTGGCTACTCCTCCTCCTAGCCTCAGCAGTTCCGTTGCACAGCGCCTGGTCTCTTCGGACCCGTGGTCTTCTGGCAGCCCGGCCATTGTGCAGCCACCGGAGCCCCACAGCATCCAGATCTTTCTGTATCTGGGATAGGAACCTGCCCACAGAGAAAACAGGATTTCACTCTACCTCACTGCGGCTGCACTCTATGGTTTCCAAAAGGGCTGGCCAACGCCATGCCATACGGCTGAGGCGTCAAGCCCAAGGGATCCAGCCTGCTACTCCATCTGGCTTTGAAGATGGCCCCTCCTCATCTCAGTACCCCTGGGCCATTGTTTGGGGTCCCACAGTTTCAGTTGATGAGGGAGGGGATGCCAGCTCTGCCAACCCAGGCTTCCCACTTCTGGATTATGCCTTTGTTTCATCCAATGGAATGGCAACAGCACAACCCAATTCCCACTCACTGTTACACAATGAAGGGCTCAACCTGCGTCAGACCCCAGCCACTCTACCACCCTTCCTCTTTGGACCTCGGGGAGAAGGTAATCATCAGTTGCTTTCCCTTATTCCTTTACAAACTGCTTTAATGATTCTGTGTAACCAACAGCTTGAGTAACAAGCCAAAATTAGGCAGGGGCTATTTTTGTCATTGCAAAAACTGCCTTCTGTGGCTGCTAGGTTTTTGCCTTTCTGTTTACAGACATGCAGAAATCAATCTAGGAAATAACTGACCTTCCAAAAAGGAGCTTAAAAATTAGTGCTTCTCCTCATAAAGTTAGTCCCACTTCTTTCTTTCTTTTTTCTGACTCCGCAACCTTTGTCTGTTCCAGGTGTGGACCCCCAACTTTACGTCACCATTACAATTTCTGTCATTATCATCCTTGTTGCAATGGGAATAATACTCAAATTCTGGTGAGTAGATTCTACACAGGTGTAAAGAGTTGTTCCGGACCTTAGCTGAAATCAAAAGTAGTATTGTGGGATGTGGCAATGGTCCTGGGAATGGGCTATAATTGCAGATAATGAATTTCAATGCCTTGGAGGTCATTTTTTCAATTATCCATTCATTTGTCTTGGAAGTGTATTTTGTTTCCCTAATTATCTCACAAGCAGTCAGGTTGTATGAATAAAGTTAGTGCTGTCCAGCAGGAAGCATTTTGTATATTATGAAGCCCATAATATGCCTAAGGCTGCAAATGGCAGGTCACTACCCTGTCAAACTAAAGGAATTATCAGTAGTTACACTAATGCCTACCTCTTTACTACTGTGAGTGGTGTTTAGGATGAAGAAGATTTAAAGGTCAAACCCAGCAACTTTCAAGCAATGGATGCTTTCCATTTTCTCTTTTCAGTTTTGTACAGATAAGCTGATTCTCTACTGAATATTTGGATCGGATGCTGTGTGGTTTCAAAGTATAGAATAAAACCCTAATAGATCTATTCTAAATATTTTGCCCAATAGATTATCAGAAGTATATAATAAATGATAAAATGGTTTTATCATTATGTTGTGGTGAATGTTTAGCTTCTTTCCTCAGTTAAGAACGAATTTCAATCTCATTCGACATAATGAAAATAACCTCCTATGTCCTACAATGTTCAACTTAGGATGAAGGCAATGGCTCTGCTCATAATAAGGCTGAGCAGTGATCCAGATTCAGAGGGCAAAATGTGATTTGGTATGTGCATGAGCACACATGGCTAAAACTCTGGAGAGGCCCTGCCAGTCTGCATAAAGAATATTAGCTAAATGCACCAAAGATCTGATTCAGTTTCATGCAGCTTTTGTTCACTTTTTAAAAGCTATAGCTAGTTTACATGTAACATTAGATCATAATGTTGAGGTTTTTCTGTTTTTGGCTTAGTGGGATGTGCAAAGCTATCCATATGGTTTAATATTATATGCAAAACAGGGTGTTTTGGTTGAAAAAAATGTAGCTTTTTGTTATGTGTTGCAAAGTAAAAAGTTAGCAGCTCACTGATATAATGGAGACACAAGACTACAGACTGAACTGGGTGTCTTTTGGATGGATCTGCCATACAATTGTAAAACCAAGAGACAATTAGATTGATGCTGCAGATGAATGTATAGCTTTCTTTAAATATTCGGTCTGTGCTCATATCAGATGCCCTCAAAGTATTCCCAAGGCAGTCACCACGTAAGGGGTTGATGGAGTCTTTTATTCAGTTGCCATAATCCAAGCCCCAATGTAGAGAGCTTTTTCTTTTTGCGTACAGTGATTTTATGTTTTATTTTTTCCTTGTTTCAAAAGCCAAAGAACTATTTGAAGAGGTAGCTTTAAAAGTTTTGCTTCAAACCTGTTATCTTCCCTCTGTAGAACAGAGGCAGGCAATGTTTATGTGGTACAACATAAAATGTTTCACTGCTGGAAGCTATATTTTTTTTTATTTTGGGTACCAAGAGAAACAAAATGTTTCTAAATAGGCAGCACCAGCATTTTTCTTTTCTTTTCTTTCTTTCTGGGGTATGTTTGCTGTATTATTTTTACAAATTGATTGACTGTATATTCTAAGCCTTAACCAACATTTTAGTTCCCTGCCAGAAAAATGTGGAAAATTGTGTTTCAGATCTCTGCTGATTTTCAGTCTGCAATTGTATGTGGATCTGGAGGTTCCAAAAATATGGTTTTAAGGTTGTCTGTTGTAAATCATGGACTGCCCACATCTGATCTAGTATGTATAAGAAACAAAACTGATTCTTATTTCATCCGCCCTTTTAGGAGACAGAGAGAAAAGGGGAATTTGCTGTCACCTACACAATACTTAATTCATCCACTACTGGAAGAATATTTAAACCACGTAGAGCTTTGTTAACAAATTGGAGTTGAAGGGAAACAAGCAGGCCTCTTATTTTCCTAAATGTTTAGGCTGCTAACGCACATTTGTGGGACAGCAGGAATCAGAAGCAATATGTTCACACCTTGTAATCAGAGCAAACATACAAAGTTGTGGAGGTCAGCCCCAGGATGGAGGATTATGGTTACATAGGTGACTTTCCTCCTTAGTGACTACCTTTGTCTAAGCTCATAAAGCTCAAGTAGGCATATGGGTGGGCGGGCAGGCAGCCTGGCTAGCTAACGGGGTAATTATTTTGTATCAGTTGCTTGCCTTATTCCTTATCCTGCACCAGAATGCAAGTGTCAACACCAGGGGTAGTCAACCTTTTTATACCTACCGCCCACTTTTGTATCTCTGTTAGTAGTAAAATTTTCTAACCGCCCACCGGTTCCACAGTAATGGTGATTTATAAAGTAGGGAAATAACTTTACTTTATAAAATTTATAAAGCAGAGTTATAGCAAGTTAAAGCATATAATAACGACGAGTTGTGTTTCTACCAAACAGTTCTACTTTGGTTTCATCTGACCATATGACATTCTCCCAATCCTCTTCTGGATCATCCAAATGCTCTCTAGCAAACTTCAGACAGGCCCGGACATGTACTCGCTTAAGCAGGGGGACACTTCTGGCACTGCAGGATCTGAGTCCCTGGCAGCGTAGTGTGTTACTGATGGTTGCCTTTGTTACGTTGGTCCCAGCTCTCTGCAGGTCATTCACTAGGTCCCCCTGTGTGGTTCTGGGATTTTTGCTCACCGTTCTTGTGATCATGTTGACCCCACGGGGTGAGATCTTGCGTGGAGCCTCAGATTGAGGGAGATTATCAGTGGTCTTGTATGTCTTCCATTTTCTAATTATTGCTCCCACAGTTGATTTCTTCACACCAAGCTGCTTGCCTATTGCAGATTCAGTCTTCCCAGCCTGGTGCAGGTCTACAATTTTGTTTCTGGTGTCCTTTGACAGCTCTTTGGTCTTCACCATAGTGGAGTTTGGAGTGTGACTGAGGTTGTGGACAGGTGTCTTTTATACTGATAACAAGTTCAAACAGGTGCCATTAATACAGATAATGAGTGGAGGACAGAGGAGCCTCTTAAAGAAGAAGTTACAGGTCTGTGAGAGCCAGAAATCTTGCTTGTTTGCAGGTGACCACATACTTATTTTCCACCATAATTTGCAAATAAATTCTTTCCAAATCAGACAATGTGATTATCTGGATTTGTTTTCTCGTTTTGTCTCTCATAGTTGAGGTCTACCTATGATGACAATTACAGGCCTCTCTCATCTTTTTAAGTGGGAGAACTTGCACAATTGGTAGCTGACTAAATACTTTTTTGCCCCACTGTAGAAACAGGAAGTCTGATGAAATTACATTTAATTAATTAAATTATTAATGAGATCCCTGAGGCTGATGCTGCGAAACTAAATACTGGATATCTGGCTCAATTTTTGTAAGGAACAAACGAAGGTCTCCTCTTTCGGAAATATTCAGGCGGTTTCTTTCTTTGGTCATAATATGATTAACAGCACTAAAGCCTGATTCCACAAGATATGAGGTAGGGAAAGGTATCAATAAACTGAATATCATTTTCCACATATTTGGATATAAGGCAGGCATTTTTTTTACTTTGCCATAGGTTTTCATATCCACCACTTTCAAATTTATGTTTACTTTCTTCATCATATCTAATTTCTAACAGTTCTTCTTGGCAAGTTATATCAGCCTCTTCAATATTTGCGGTAAAAGGATTTTTCATCCAGTCATACACCTTCAATTTCAAAATATCTTCAAATCGTTTTTCCATGTCCAATTTAAGTCCTGGGCAAGCAGGAATGAAGAGAAAGCCTTTATGGCCTCTACCCTGGTATTGAGGGAATGCCCAGTGGAGTCTGGTTTGTCCCCGATCCGTGCCTGTCACAGCAGGATGAAGAGAGAGCCTGGTTTTTGTCAGAGATGCCTGAAATCTCTATGACTGAGGGCTCTGTGTGGCTCTCAAAATGGCGGCCGCACCAAAATTAGCGGCCGCTTGTATTTCGGCTGGGCTTTCCCAGCCATGAGGGGCTCTAAGAGGAAGCTTGTTGTTCGTTGTGCCTTTAATTCCCCCCACCCCCCCGAAGCCGAAAATGAGGCACTTGCAGTTTTATCTCATTGCGCAGCCTCTGCTGCGATCCGGATCGTCGAGAAAGTTGACGGGAGCCTCGCAATGATGGCGCACTTCAGCAAGGCTCTCTGGCCTCCGAGAGCTCCGTGGGGGGTCGCACAGCTGAGGCTAACACCCCGCGCCTGCTGGAAAGCTCTGTGAGCCGATCGGAGGGCTCAATGGATCCAAAAATTTAAACAGCTCGATTGAACCCCTACCGCCCACCAAAAAAGCTGGAACGCCCACTAGTGGGCGGTAGGGACCAGGTTGACTACCACTGGTAGTTCCCAGGGAAGCAACAAAACCCTTTTGTTGCTAGCTCAGCTCCTGTTAAAATCCACTCCCACCTGCATTTCTAGCACTAATTCTAGGCCCAGAACTCTTGAAATCAGAATTAAAATTGGCAGCCTTATCTACATTAGGCAAGGCGTAGAGGCAAACATGTTCTGGAAGCTTTGACAATTGTATTAACTATCATCTGTGTCATATGATATCAATCCAGGAGATTCTTCAGGCAATACGGTCGCCTTAAGGATTGAAAATTTCAGAAAATGCTGCTGAGATATCGACAGCTTTTGCCTGACACATAAAAAGGAAAACAAAGGATTTGTGTATAGGGATGGAAGGGTTTATTCAGTGGCTGTGGATCGCTGTATGTTGGTTGCTGGTATGGAGCATGTGGTTGAGTAGAAGCTGCCTTTTTTTCATAACAATGATGTAATATGAAGCAGTTTAGTTATTACGAAATGAGTGAAAACCTATTTTACAATGAAAGCACAAAGATTTGATGTTTAGTAATTCTGAGCATACATTCTTGCTGACAGAATACAAGGATTAATTTGCAGGCTCAGATAAAAGTAATGTTTTCTGGGATTCCTGGCAATAGAGTAACCAGGCTGTTTTAGGGATCCACATCACCTTTTTTTCCAATGGCAGCAAGCTCTAAGATAACCTCCTAATCTGTTTCCTAGGTAAGCAGGTAGATTCGTGCATGTCTGCAAGATATGATACTTGCCAACATTAGTATAGTGGTTTAAGTATTAGACTAAGAGTAAAAAGGAAACCGAGGTTCAATTCCCCATTCAGTCCCCAAGCTGATCAGCAAATTATCTCAGTTTAAATTACATCATAGATTTTGTGAGGCTTAAACAAAGGTAGCAATCTAAAATTGAGGTAGACAAAGAGAAACTCTCTAAAGGGATTTTTACATAATAAAGTCAATTGGCTATGCTTATTTTAATCCTTCTCTGGCAGCAGGAAATATACAAGATATTATCCTTATGAAATAAGAGAGAATGGAGTTGGGGAATAGTGGTGTAAAGTGGTGAACCACACAATTTCCAGATGAGAAAGAAGAATAAATAATTAAGAGGTCCATGAAATAATAATGTACTTTCTACAGAGAAAGGAACAGTCTCAACTATATTACTGTTAATGTTGTCATTAAGGAAGTAGCCTGAGAGAGTTTTAGAAACACTCATATACTTTTGTTGTACAGGGTTAAAACAAAAACATCTTAGCCTCCCAAATGAATTTGGGAATCACTGTTTCCTCTTTTTTATGGTAAATGCACCCATTTTATTACCTTAAGTTATGAATTCTAACATATTTATTCTTTAATTAGCCAAGATACAATACAAAACAGAAAAACAGGAAAAAAGCAGATTGACAAACATCCAACACTAATAACCAAAAGAAGGAACTTATAAAAATGTATATAAAAAAGAGAAAATTGGCAGCATTAAATCTAACATTAAACATTAAAAAATCCATCGTGTCTGAATGCTGAAAGATACATCCAAAAATAATATGTTCTCCTCTCCTTATGCAATGGATCTACAAATAATTATAAACTTTTCCATCTATATTTAACAAAAATGCTACATTAGATACACAAATATCCCCAATATGAAAATCTACTTATATAGCAATCAAATCAATCCAATATTGCTTTACAATCTATGTATTAAAAAATCACCAGTCAACAGGTTACCCCAAATGTAAAACTAATCTTCAAATCCCTCTGTTAACCATCTGTTATTGTATTTAAGACATAGAAAGTCCACAAACTCTTTCCAGTCTCTTATAAAGTTGTTCAGTCCACTGTTTTTAATTAAGGCAGTTAATTTTGCCATCTCTGCTACTTCAGTCAGTTTTAAAATCCACTCTTCAACAGCCAGCCTCACCTTTTCTTTCCAATGTTTAGCATATACAACCCTCGCAGTGGTCACCATATAAAGAAATAGCGTCGCAAACTGTTTTTCCAATTGGTTTGTCCATAATACCTAAAAGAAAAGCAGGAACCACTTTTGCATGTTCTAAATTACTACGCATATAAATTGCTGTTGTTAGTGAAACTTATTTGCTTTTCTGTTCCAAATGTGTAAAGTGCTGTACAACTCAATAAAAAAACAATCAACTATATAAATAAAACTAACAAAATGAACGAAAACAAGAATTAAAAAATAAAAGCCAGGTGAAGCTCTCTCAAATGCCTGAGCTTTAATGAAAAATATTTTTAAACAATAGATATGTAGTAAAGAACCAGACCAATTCCTTTAATTGTTATATACCAAAGTCTGGTCATGGGTAAAAGGAACCTAGAATGCAGATAGTCCTCGACTTATGATCACAACTGAGTCGAAAATTTCAGATGCTAAATGAGACAGTTGTTAAATGAGTTTTGCCCCATTTTACAACTTTTCTTGCAACAGTTAGTAAGTGAATAACTGCAGTTAAGTTAGCAACATGGTTATTAAGTAAATCTGGCTTCCCCATTGACTTTGCTTGTCAGAAGATCACAAAAGGTGATCACATGACCCTGGGACATGGCAACAGTCATAAACATGAGCCAATTGCCAAGCATCTGAATTTTGATCATGAGACCGTGGGGATGCTGCAAATGTCATAAGTGTGAAAAATGGTCATAAGTCATTTTTTTCAGTGCCATTGTAGCTTTGAACAGTCACTAAACAAACTATTTAAGCTGAGGACTACCTGTATAGCCATTTTCTGTTGAGCTTGGTCCACACGTCATGGGGTGCGTTTCATAGGCACAGTTCCTATAGATGCCCATTAAACTTCCACAAACAGTATCCAGTATTGTAATACTCTGAGATGTTTGAGTATCGATGCACTCAAAAAGAGAACAGGTTCTCTGGCAGCTATACAACAAATGGGCTTTTTTTATTTCCCTAGTAATTAAAATAATAGTTTGAATGCTGAAAAATACAGTGTTCTTGCAAAAGATCTAATACAGTATGTGGAACGAAGACAATGGAATGCGTTTCTAAAACTAAGCAATGAATCACACAAACACACACACACACACACACACACACACACATACTGGAACTTATGTATGCATGCTGTCTTGATGGTAACCCCCTTCTCCACCTACTTTAGCTGGGACCGGAATCAAAAGCGCCGTCACCATTCTAGTCAGCAAAATGAATTGCAGCAGCAGGAGAGCCAGCAGCCTTTAACAGACCTGTCACCTGCCACGGTCAGCATCCTAGGACCCTACAGCGATTCACAGGTTCCTACGCCAGAGATGGTGGAAAGTGGACAAGTACTGGAAGGCTTGGAGAAGCTGGACAGTCTAGGGAAGTCCAGTGCCTTCCAGCTCAATAGGTAAGTAGCAGAGTGGACAATAATTGGCTGTTGCTTTTGGCAGAAGAAGAGGGGGAAAACAAGTAAAAATCAGAACAAAAAATATCAGAAGTATGTGAGCAGCTGATTTTTTGTGCAGGGCTAGTGAACCTCTATTTGAGCCACATGTCAAAATAGATTCTACATTTTGGTGCTGGTTTTGTTTCCCCTTAAAATTTATACTCCCTAGGCTTTCTCAGACACGATGCTTGGGAGAAATGAATGGAAAAGGGACCATTTCTAAATGGAGGGTGACTTTGTAAAATTTTGTCAATTTTATAACACACAGTTCTAAAGACTATCACGGGGAATATAACAACTGTTTCATTCTATTTGTTTCAAAGTATATAACCATTTTTATGTATTCTTATTCTCCCCCCCTCCCCCCAGCTTTTGTTCATTGGAAGATATGCAGTTTTCCTTTTCAGTACCCATTCATTTGTGCTATGGCTTTTTTCAAGTGGCGTGAAAAGTGATCAGTAATAAACATTCTTCCTCTATTCCATGATATTAAACATTTAAAAAAAAATTTACAGAGACATCCCTGTGGTAGCAGTATTTGTGTTCAAAAGGTAATAAAAAGAGACCAGCAGTAATATTCCTACAGCAGGATTCTTCAAACTCTTTTAGGCGGTGGAACCTGTTAGTTAGGAAAAGAAAGAAACCTTGATCAAAAGGCAACAGTCTACTGATAGATAATTGGCTGTGCTTGAGTGATTTTCTTTCCTTTAGTGTCTCACAGAACCCTGAGGTTGAAAAACTATGCCTTAGAGAGGACAAGTTGTAGATTGAGAGCTTCAGTTGTTTAATTTGTGCGTACTATGCTTTGTCACTGTGTTCCGGTTCCATTTTAGTTATAAAACATTAGCAAATATCCCTTCAAGAATTAATGGCACTGGGGAGAGGGAAGGTTGACTTTCTGTTTTTGTCTTTGTATAGCTTTAAGTTCCAGTAGGTATAAACCAAAAATAGAGATACAAAGAGTTCAGAAACCTCAAGGAAAATAATTGAAAAGCAATTGATTGATTATGTGCCATCAAGTTGCTGCTGACTCTTAGCAGCCATATAGATTTTCTTCATGAGGATCTATCCCTGACTTAGCCTTTCATGTCTTTCAACAGCACACTCACTGCCACTGTAGCTGAGCCTACCCACATGCTGGATGGTGGTCCTCTTCTTCTCTGTCTTTCCACTTTTCACGGGCTCCTGAAATAACGCATCACTACAACAGGCTTGGGATAGGCCATGTCCCTGGATATTTGATGAACTATAGTTCCCAGTACCCTCAGGATGCTGGAAGGTGCAGATCCCATAGTTGGTATAGGAAATGTAGTAGTCTTATGTTACTGCTTTTAAAAATGATCCTCAATAGAAGGAGCAACAAAAATAAATCCTTAACAACAATTATGACCTTTAGAAATAATGGAAGAGAAATCTCGCTACTTTTCATTATTCATAGCACGAGCAGAGTCCAATATGCCAGGCAAGACCACAGAGGTAGCAAGAGTTACATTGCTTGATTGCATCCCCCCCCCTCCCCTTATAATAGTATATAAACAGAATGCATTGGTTTCTGTAAAATGGGTTGGGTTCCCTAAACCAAATCATAGATTAACTGCCACCGTGCAAATATGTGGTAACAAAATTACTTAGCCCTCTAACATTTATCGGGCTAAAAGTGGCTGAAGGTGAATACTACCAATACTGTGATACATTTGACAATTTACAAGGGGATCTTGGTTCTATATATAGTAAATATATAATAGCAGCTGGATATCCATCAAAAATTATAGTTGATCAGCGAGAATCAAATATTAATACAGGTGGACCTCGACTTACAGCCATTTGTATAATGACCATTTGAAGTTACAATGGCACTGAAAAAAGTGACTTATGAGTCTTTTTCACACAACCATGCAGCAGCGTCCCTGTGACTACATGATCAAAATTCAGACACTTGACAAACGGCATGTATTTATGACGGTTGCAGTGTCCCGGGGTCCACGTGATCACATTTTGCAATCTTCTGACAAGCAAAGTCCATGGGGAAGTCAAATTCACTTAACAACTGTGGCAAAGAAAGGTCATAAAATAGGGCAAAATTCATTTAACAGCTATTTTGCTTTCCAATGGAAAATGTTGGGATCAGTTGTGGTCATGAGTCGAGACTACCTGTAGAGTTACAACTTAAAGGCAAACACCCGTAGTATGAGAGAGGATTTTTGACAAAAGGATTTTTTTCTGACCACCCATTTCTGTCTTACTGTTTGTTTTGATTTTTTTCCAACCTGGGTATCTCAGAAGACATTTCTCTAATCAGGATATTCCATTCCTTGCTATTGTCATCAGCCGCTCCATCTTGATGCCCTGGATGATGTGTGCTGGGTTCTTTGGGAATAGATGGGAGTGACAGGAGTAGAAAGGACCGTGCCTGCTCTCCACGAAGGGGCTCTTCTCTTCTTGTCCCATGGGTAGTTTTATATCCTTCTTCTTTCTAAAGACTCCTGTCTATAGGAGCCTCCTCCCACAAATGGAAGACAAGAGATGCAGCAATGAGAAAGCATGAACCGAATGTGGATAATGTAAATTTATTTAAATGTAATAGTTGATGGAAATACTGTCAACTTTCCTAAAATTTATCATTTTGTCATAGTGCAATGACTTACATGCTATCCCTTTTTATAGAGAACTAAGGATGTTTTAGTAATAATCCCATCCGGGCTATGATAGCATTGCAAGAAAACAGATAAAGCCACTCTATTCATAGCATCTAAGTACTGGGAATACTTTTTATTTATGTCTCTAATTTTCTCCCACTCCGTTTCTACTTCTGTCTCCCTCAGGATTCCACTGGTGAACTTGTGACTGAATGCAATGGAAGGAATAAGGCTTGATGTCCTTGTAATGAGCTCAAATGCTGAATCTTCAAGGGAGTCCCACAGAAGCGGCAGCCCTTCCTTTAGTCCCATCCTCCTGCAATGCCACTTCTGGTGCAACAGAAGAGTTATTGTGGATCCCTTTGTGTCACCTCCTTCCACCATCACTGCGGGCCCAACTAAAACAAAGATGAGCTCACGTTCAACCCGCCAGGCTGGGCTTTCAGGAGCCCCATGGTGCACGGCGATTAGGGCAGTGTCATGCCAACAAAGCCCGGGGAAGGAACAAGCGGATGAAAGTTACTAGTATGATAATAATTTTAAACACATCTCCCTTGTATCTTGACACAAACAGTTGCATTACAGATATTTATTAGTAAGCATGCTTGATACCAAGAGGCAGGATGCTGTGTGTCTTCCCTTCCTTCCCAACTTTTGTTCTCTTCCTCTTCGTGGGATCTGATGGGTCTTCCAAAAGGGCAGTTCTTAGTATCATTTGGGGTGGGGTGGGGGGATGATGCGGTTCTTACTGGGTTGTGGGAATCAACATACTATATAGAAAGTAAAAGTATGATTAAGGAGAACTAGATACAAAGAGTCAGTAACAAACAGCATACCACACTCAATTTCCTATGGTGGTTTTCAGATTAACCTTTTCTCTAGAATTGCCATCCCTTGTTCATCTTTTTAAAATTGTGTTCTAGTATCATACTAAACCTAGGACCTGGTTAATCCAAATATGCCACTTTCCTTTGAAAACCATTGCTTGTTTATAGTTAACTGATACAGAACAAAAACCTCTGCCCAGAGATAATAGGAGAACATGGTCGTAAACAAACAAGCCAATGGCTATTTCAATGAAACAATTGCAAGACTATACTGTCTAGTGATGACAGGCTAACCATAACTGAAGTTTTGATAGGGTCTTGTGCTTCCTATTAAATATTTCCTGGCTGCAGGTGTGGTATGCTTGATTGCTTCATAATGAGAATGAATGGGAGATAAGTGAAAAGCTATTAATGGCCCTCTGAATAGTTTCTCTTCAACCCAATGCAGCCTTTGTTTTGACAGCAGAACAAAAATGCATTAGAGGGGTTTGTTAGTTGCTTTTTTTTTTGTCTTAAAAATATTGTGGAATTATGTCCCTTCCCTCTGTGGCAGAAAACTAGCTATTGAGGAATTAAAAGAGGAAATAGCTTGTTTATATTGCTGGGAACTTTCACTAAACAGAACCTTTTTGTGCATAAACATGCTAAGATTTTCTTGATAGCAGCAAGTGTTGTTCCTTTTGTATATGTAAAATCTCTGATTAATTAAATTTACTGCCAACTGCAGAAAGGTAGTTCCTTAGCACCACTGTAGTATGTAGGCAACCCATACCATCTGTCTGTTCTTGAATTTTTAAGCACATTACTTGCTATAGCTATGGTGCCAAGAAGGTATTCCTTTTATGTCCCGCTTCATTTGCCCTTCTATAGCATTTCATTCTAGTTCTGATTTCCCCACTACAATGATTGGATGAGACGTACCTGTCCTGATGCCCCCAATGAAAACTTTGGTTTGCAATAAGTGTGGCCTCCAAAAGCATTGTAGTCAGTGCCAAATGCATTTCTTCTAGGAAGGGATTCCAAAATTGAGGTATCACTGCTGACGGTGCTAGCTGGTGTATATAGTGTGCATTGTGCCCTTCCAAGTAGGGAAGTAGTAGAGATAGAGTTTCAGGTGGAGATTTGAAGATGGGCAGCCCAAAGATTATAAACCATACGTAGCCACTGGAATTTGCATTGCTAAACATTTCAGTCCTAACCTTAGGCTTATAATCAAGCCTTCTGGGGTCTGCTTTTGTTTTAAAGCACGGACCAGCTACCTGGGCAGTCTGACTCTTCTTAGGATATAAAGCTACTTCCTTGCAATTCCAGCATCATTATCCCTGGGTGTTCCATATTTTCTGCAGTGGATTCTCTAAGCCTAGAATAAATAGTAAAGGTATATGTTTACAGTTTTGTACAGTATCTGCAGAACTGTGTTGTCTAAGCAGGACAAAACCAAAATCTGCTTTTTGAAATACGGGCATCTGTTCCAAAGCCCCAAGGAAGCACTTACTTGTTCTTTTTATTACTTCAGTTTCTGACAAGCACAACTTCTTTATCAAAGGCTCCTCCGGTAATTATATCTGAGCTTCCAACGTAAAGCCGTGTTTCTGTGATAAATCCACAAGGGGCAGATTCCTTTTTACCCATCTTCCCAGATACTAGATTGCATAGTTATGAGATACTCTGTACAAACATTTGTTATGTTTATATCTTGCTCTTTCCCAAGGAAACGCACTGAATGAGTAGGTGCCACCCTGTCAATTTTAGACTCACAACTCTTCTGCGAGGTGAGAAAGAGAAAGTGGCCCACATTTATCTGAATGGAATCAGAGATTTGAAGCCAGCCTGAATGGAGATTTGAAGCTAGCCAGGTATTTGGGGTTTAACTGGCCCTCTTAAGTTCTGGAGAAAAATGCATGAGTAACTTTTTATATTTCAAGTCACTTCTATCTTATGAACACTCAGAATTAAATTTCATTGTTGCATTTAGAATTCCACTCTTAGAACCACCAAATAGTCAAAAGAGTATAGGGATCCTGTACTATTGAAAATGAGGGGTAGGAAGGGGGAGCTGTTGTCATTTTATTTTAATTGAGGAAGAAATAAAGGAAACTTGCCATTGTTATTTGTATTTATCCCTCTCCTTTCTTTGTAGTATACTTAATAACAATTAAAATGTTTTCATTATTTCATCTGCTTAAGGGTATGATACACAGGAAATTATTTTAAAGTGTCACTTATTTAAGTATGGAGTTACATCTATTTTTAAATTAAGAATTAATTGCCATAATAATGCCAGCATAAATTTCTTATTCAAGTGAAATAACTTTATAGTTTATTTTTATGTAGTAATATGAAGTTAGTAATCCCTTCTGCTTGTTTGGGGCAAAGGGATCATCATCTAGTTAGTTAAGAACTATAAAGCTCTATATTTTATTAATTATAACAATAGCACAGAGTTAGAATGTGACTACCAAGATCCCTAGTGGAAACCACAGACCACCCAGGCATGCTTATTAACCAAATAATAATAACAATAATAACCAACCCCCACCATAACTGTATCCTCTTTGCCTGGGTTTGAAATGCCAAAATCAGTCAACTGAGCTTTTTTCAGCTTGTTTATAAATGTCATATTTTAATGTCTGTACGCAAAGCTGCTTTTATTTTAGCAACACATAAGCCCTAATCCACCATCTTCATCAAAATTAAAGAGAAGTTGGAATGGATGATGCTGTAGCATGTGAAGTAAAACAAGAAAAAGACATGCGGCAGAAATATTATTAAGACTGCCCATCACTGGAAGTAAAGGAAAAATGGTGTCGATATAAACTTTGGGAGGGAAGGTGAAAAACTGGTTAGGTGCTTAACTACTTAGATGTTTACCTTTTCTATGCCTGTTATTCTCTTACCTTGATATGTGTTTGAAGAAGATAAGGATTCTTCCTCAACAAAATTGTGTTCTCTGACCTTTAAAAATATTAATCCTCATGCTGTTAAAACAGAGTGATGTCAGCAAGTCTGACTAAAGATGTTTTAGCCAATGAAATGAAAAATGCAAAAACCTTCAGCATGGAATTCAGTTGATGGGTAATCCACCAGAGACTTTTCTTCTACATGCCTCATTGTAATTAAGGGCATTTCTGTGTTTACTGTTTGAGCTGTTCCTATCCTTTGCTCATGCCTGCTTGACTCTACGCCAGCTTAAAAAAGCCTGGCCAATATATAACTGTATACTGTATTCGTTTCTAAGGGCTTTTTGACTACAGTGGGTGTAGCTGTTTTGAACATAATTGGTCAAAATCCAATGTGTTTTACAATTATATTTTTTTCTTTCCAAAATTCCTTTCTCATGCTTTGCTTTACTTTCTTGGGTAACGATTGGAATGCTGGACTGATTCTCCAGTCAGCTGAGATAGAAGAATTTTATCCCCATCTTCCAAGCAGCTCATGGCTTAAAATAGCTCAACTGTTACCGTACTTTTAAGACATTAAACACAATCCATGCTAGCATTTGATGGGTTACTTATATGGGGAAAAGAGATGGAGCAGCTGCAAAGATCATAACCAAGTTGTTCTAAAATTATTTCTCCCAGCCGGAATAGGAAGAGGTAGCACTGGAAACTGTTGGGTAGGCAAAGCAGAGATGCTGCCAAAGGAAGCAGGCAGGGTTAAGCAAAACTGAAAATTGAGGTGGGTGAGATGGAGGAGAAGCCATGTCGTGGGCAGCAGCCAGCATTTATCCATTCCTGGTTTGGATACATACTTTATTTTGGCACATGGCCAAAACTATGCACAAACCCTAAATTTGCTGCTCCAAGGTTTTCCAGGTGAAAGGGGTGGTTGAAGCGCCTGGTTGGACGGTCTCATCTCCTCTTCATTAGGGTTCCTCTTGCCCTTGCCTTGACCCAGCTAAACCAGGGGAGCATAGATTTTTCCACCCAATAGGGGGGAAAAGAAGCTAACAATGATTACCATGATGGGTTATGCTGAGGTCTAATAGGTCTGGTCATGAGAGAATGGCTCTGCCATAAGCATACATATTGTAGACAGTTCTGTCTCCGTGACAGTATGTACAGCTCCATAAAAAACTTCTTTAACTTCACTGCATTGGAATCCTTAGAGTCTTCTGTGTCATTATTTATTTTTGTTGGCCTCTGCATCAGTGATAGTACATTAAATGCTGTTAATTGTAAGTGCATAACTACACAGAGCTTCCCAATGGGGGTGGTTACACTGCAGGATGAATGTACTTTCTATCTCTGCTACATGTAATCAGATTTCTTTGTCGGGTTTTAATTCTCTTGTTGGCCATATTGCAGACGTGAGAGCTGTAATGGTAGCATCAGGCAAATATCAACTGGGACCCAAACAACCCATGAAACAAAAGCCACTTGGGTTTATATTTTCCAAGAAAAATCTATGACATTGTAATATTTTTTCCTATTTGTTTTCATGCCAATATCTTTTTTTAAATAAATTAATTTATCCTTACAAGTATAAACAATTTAGTAATTATCACCTTCTCTTAAAATACAACACATGATCTCTTCTTCCCATAACCCATCTCTTATATATAAACAAATTCATAAAATGTTTTAATTTCAGTCCTGATGTCAACAAAAGTCCATTAAAATCTATTTTAACTTTGATCAAATAAACTAACTTTATCTTTTTCTCACTTAGTGTTTCAAAGGCACTGGCTGTGATTTGAGCAAGATGGCTATTTCCTTATCTCTGAGAGTACTAAATGCACTGGCTCCATTCTTTTGCAATGGCTGGAGCACTTGTGGGTGATCTCAGTTGCTCTCCTTATCCACAGAGGAATTATGAAGAGCTGGTTTACTCGCCAGCTCTTTCTTTCACTGTGGCCATCAGCTCTGCTTTTTGCAGGGCTGTCTTCAGTTTGCCATTTTTTTCCTTGGAAGTCCCCAATACTTGTTTTTTATTTATATATCGTACTAGGTTTAAATCTGCACCACTGAATAATGATTCAGTTTAACCAAGAGAAGAAGTTAAAGATCCCATGGATTCCAATTACTTATTTCTATGCTGCCCTTCCCTATAAATATCTTCAAAAATGATAAAACAATAAAGTTCCACTCCGACTCTGTCCCAATTGCATCTGCAGTTTTAAATTCCTCTTATACCTCTCTCGTAGTAAATAATCAGTCATTCCAGCCATGGCAAACTGTCCATTGTTGGGGAAGAGATTGATTGCAGGTTCTTCCTTGTATCAATGTAAAGGGCTATCCTTGGGCCAACAGAAAATTATAATGGCATAACATTTGCTGCCCCACTGGTGATCCCTGTCTTCCCAGAAGCACAATGCCAGCCTTTAGATCTATAAATGAAACTGTCCTCATTTACAAAGTACAGAGCAAGTTAAGGACATGGACTGGAGAATTCCTCTGGTTTATTTCTCTCCTCTTCCACTGAAGGTCATTACCTGGCAAGAAAACATCTATTATCCACTCTCTTTAACATTGGATAAGGATGGGACTGGCAAAGAAGTGAATTTTAATAGATATTTTGACCACTGGGTTTAGCCATCTATCAAAACTCACTTTTGTTTCATGGGTGTTCTAAGAAGCTTCCTGATATCAGCTGATGCACAGATTCAGTATCATTCCAGAAGGCACTAAATCCAGATTCAAAGGCAAACCAGAACAATAGCTGGGAGTCATGGAGAGACTTGTGCAATGAAGCAGCAGGGAGCTGACTTCCTCTGTCCCACTTCACCATCCAGCAGCCCCATCACCACTCCTAAATAGTTGCTGTTCACTGTTCTATGACATATTGGCCACATAAAGTAGTGTACAAGGACCCACTAGCCAATAGATGTTGAAAAAAAGGTTGCAGGGCATGTTTTTGCTGTAACTAAATTCAAATGAGGAAAGGCTTCAAGATATGCAGGTAAATATTTCAGAGAAGGGGAGAAAGCAGTAGGATAGCAGGGAAAGAGTAGTAGAATGTGGTGAAAACTGCTGTTCATTTCTCTGCTTTCCCCCTAGTTTTCGTTTCCTTAAATTGCTCCAGTCCCATCTCTTGCCCACGACCTCAGTTGTGAAAAATGTCCTGTGCTGCTATCATTTCCATGTAGGAAACTGATGGGAACATCTAGAATAAAAGTGGGCAGTCAAGCATGGGGTACCAGCATGAGATTCAGCATGGTTTCCAGTCAGGAATGAGTTCTGCTATCAGCATTAAGAAGTTTTAATTATTTTTTAATGGTACAATTTTCTCTCAAGCGTGGCACTAGAAATACAGCATCACGGTATAATTGTGAATTTTTGTTTTCTTTTTCTTTTTTTGGGTGAAATGGTCTATTTCCTGAAACACTATGAGATGGCCAAGCACAGGGCAAGGATGGAGAATTGTTAGCAGGCATGGTTAAAGGAAGGGCAGTGTGGCTACTAAATTAAGGGCAACTATGGGCAAGCGATTTCTCTTCCGCCACTGCTTCCATCACTGTCACATGTAACAAATGCCTCCTTTGCTGTATGTGCCATGGAAACCCATCACTACTTGAGGCTACTTGTGGCAGAATAAGTGTGTGTTTATTTGTAACATGTGACAGTATTTACTTGCAGTTTCTCTCATGGAAGTGGAATATTTATGAAACCTTTAGCATGTGTGCAGGATCACTGTGTCTTTCTTCTCCCTCTTCTGCCCCTTGTGCACTGTATGATATATTTTTGTAGAATTCTTTTCTTCTTGTAGTGAAATTCTTAATACCTGTGGAATGTTAAGTTTCAAGAATTTTAAAATAAAACTGCAAAATGATGAAGAAAATGGCTGGCGTGTACGGGACTCTTATTGGCGAAGCTATCCAGATATTGTGAAGAGATGTATTGCATTCTCCACTGTGGGTTCAAGCAGATGAGCTAGAGTCTAGACCAGTGTTTCTCAACCTTTTCTTTTACTCATGGCCCCCTTCCAACCTTATTTTTCTCCCGTGCCTCCCCATCCATGTCCCATTACCACATATGGATACGAGACAGTAACTGGTATGTTTTCTGGTATCAACAAGACAGTATTTGCAATATAATACACTTTGCTTTTCTGCGGCCCCCTCAGCATTCACCATGGCTCTCATTACATGTTTTTTTTTACCTGTGGCTCCCTTAAAACATCATAAAGCCCGCAAGAGGCATATGGTCCCCCAGTTGAGAACTGCTAGTCTAGAAGACAGCTTCCGCAGTCCACAAGAAGTACAGCCGTCGGCTGCGTAATTAAAATTATGAGAATTGCATAATTGCCCCCATCTAGGGAAAAGAATAATGGTTGGCAAGAGTGAGTTGTGGCATAATAACACTCGTGCTTCTTAATATCCCAGTGTGGTCAATACATGATTCCTAAGAGCAGTGCTTGTTTTCTTAAAAAAAAAAAAAAATGTGCCGGAACTCACACATGTCATACAACCTGCCTTGCCTACCCTACAAGGTTTCATCCAAAAAAGGTACCGGAACTCCGTTCTGGGCATTCTATGAGAAAAAAAGTCCTGCCTAAGAGGATCTAATAGTAGATAGAAGATAGTGTTCTGATAGGGATCTTGGGAACATTTCAAATGAAGCTATCAAGAGATTGGACAAGATGACATATTCTATCCCGTACCATTAAGGGAAGACTGGTATACTGCATATTGAAAGGAAGACTTTGGCAGAGCTGAGCAGAAGATTAGATGAAAGCTGGAACCTCTTTGTAGAGATGCTTCTCTTTGGTGTCTATGATGAGATGGTGCATATGCTGCCTGGCATGCACTGGGTACTGTCAAAAATATCAACAGGTTTGGCCCAAGTCACTTTGGCATCTGAGATGAGAAATCTAAATGGCATTCTTCTTCCTGCCAATTAATACAAGACATTAGATTACTTCCACAAAGCTGGTGAAGAAGAAGCTACAGAAGCCCTTGCTGATCATTTGGGCTCCGTATGTCCTACTCAACAATATCTCTGATAGCACACAAATCCAGCATCGCACTGTTTTCCTTCATTCGACCTCCTGGTAAGAACCCTTCTGAAATTTCATCCTTGCTTCTGTAATTACTGCTTTGCCTGAAATGTACCCTTTCCCATCATAAAAACATTTTGTAACATTGTAATTTCAGGCTGCAGCAGGCAAGGGAGGAGGAAGGGGAGACAGAAATAACCAGAAGAAAAGGAAGAACAAGGCAGGGAGCCGAAAGCTCAGATTTTCCACCCTTTCTATTTAAGGCTCTCCTGTGGCTTTCTTTTGTGTCAAGGGTGCAGCTGCTGCTAGAGTTCTAGTTTTCCAAGAAGAAAACTAGAACTCCACTCGCCCACCTTCTACTTTAACACCTTCACTGTGTCAAGCAGGCAATCAATAATGGGAAATGAGTGTGCAGCATTAAGCGGACACATATTAGACCTTGGTTCTCCAGAGAGTTTGAAGTGGAGGATGGATTAATTAACTCCTTTCAGCCACAGTGAGGAGTTCTTTCCCAAAATGAATATAAGAAGTGCCAGAATTCTCAAACCTTTTCAGAAATGAGGCTATCCTCACTCGACATAAAGGAAGACATTACAATTAAAGGTTTTTAATTCAAACGGAACTTGTTCAGGACAGAGCACCGCACGGGGGTATTCTGACTAAACCTCTCTCTTTGCTCTCACCATAAATATGGGGTGGCTGTGCACCAAGCTAGGAGGTGGGTGGTTGAATGTAGACTTTACAAAGAAGTGACGAGCAAATTCACCCACATTTAACTGAGACGGGGGGGGGGGATGCTGAGTGGATCTATACATATTAGTAGAACTGAGGCTAGGCCAATTGTAGGCAGGCCTTTTTGCTCTGTGAAAATGGAATTACACTTGCGAAAGAGCCCAGTAAAGAGAAACAGAATAAGAAGTGGTGAGGATTTTTCTGCTTTAGAATGCATTTTATTCCCCCTTGTTCTTGCTACATTAATTTAATAAACCTACTACTCAATAAGACAGAAAAATGTGGGTTAGACAGCATCAGTGCCAGATGGATTCGTAATTGGCTGACCAACCACACTCAACATGTAATACTTAGAACTGCATCTAAATGGAGGGAAGTATGTAGTGGGATTCTGTCTTAGGCCCAGTACTTTTCAACATCTTCATAAACAATTTAGACCAGTGATTCTCAACCTGTGGGTCGGGACCCCATTTGGGGTTGAACGACCATTTCACGGGGGTCGCCAAACAACGCAGCCTACCATTTTTTTCCCCTTTTCCTTAGCTGTGCTACTCCCTTTTATTCTATTGGCTTTTGAAAGCCAATAGAATAGACTCTCTTGAATAGAGTCTAATTCTATTGGCTTTCAAAAGCCAATAGGAATTGTCCAGGCTGTCTCTGCCCTGCTGAGCCCGCCAAAAGTCCCATTCTGCAAACAGTGCTGCACCAGTTGAGTAGTCCTCGACTTACGACCGGTTGGGGGGTCGCAGCATTAAAAAGATTGAGAACCACTGATTTAGACAAAGGGATAGAAGGGGAATTTTATATTTCCAG